TACACACTCCTCACGACACCGGGCATACCGACTCGTATAGGAAACAGTGTCAACAGGGACACCACTCCCGACCTTACCGTAACCAACAATGCCGCGACCATGCGCTGGAGTGTGCTGGACGACAATCTGGGCAGCGATCACAATATTGTGCAAATAACATATGAAACAGCTCGACTGCGACGCCCGCTCGGAAAAGCCAGACTGACTAACTGGACTAAATATAGAGAGCAACAGGAAGTAGACGGGCCCAAGCCAACAACTATAGCCCAATGGACACAGTACATTAAGGGTCTCTATGACAAGAACACCAAGATATATCAAACAACTACCGACGCACCTGCCATTGACACCCACTTGACACATCTTTGGGAAGCTCGTCGAGGCCTCACGAAACGGTGGCGCCGACAAAAGCTAAATAAGAAACTCAGACTCCGTATAGCGAAAATCACGGAGGAAGTAAACGCATACTCAAAGGAACTTTACAACAACAACTGGCGCACCTTCTGCGATTCGTTAAAAGGCACATTAAGCACGAAAAAGACGTGGAACATCCTACGGAGTCTTTTGGATCCCTCTGCAACAAGAACCGAAACAAACGCTACCCTTCAACGGCTAGCTGGGGAATTTCAAGGTGATCCGGATCAGTTAATAGAAGAGCTGAAACAACGCTACACAGGAGAACGCAAGCGAAACGTTAGCCCAACACCCAGTCAAGAATACAATGGAGAACCCAACACTGAGCTCGACGCCCCCATAACCTTTGCGGAGGTTTATGCAGCGGCTCAAAGCTTCAAAGAAATACAGCGCCCGGATTGGATGGCATTACAAATGCCATGGTACGGAACCTCAGCGATGAAGCATTACAAGCCATCACAGACCACTTTAATCAGGAAGTCTGGACACCGAGTGGAAAGATACCTGCAGAATGGACACTGGCACAGGTTGTACTCATACCTAAACCAGGCAAACGGCGAAGCCTTGATCAGCTACGACCAATTTCTTTAACGTCATGCATTGGCAAGCTCTTCGAAAAAGTTATACTCACTCGCCTTGAGCAATACACAGAAGAACGGGGGCTTCTACCAACATCTATGTACGGATTTAGGCGAGGAGTGTCTACCCAGGATATCTTCTTACTGCTCAAAGAGGAAGTGCTTAACACAGCGCCAGGTAGTCTCAACAATCTACTCGTTGCACTCGACATCGAAAAAACATTTGATAATATTGCGCACTCTACCATACTAGACGGTCTTGCAGCCATTGGATGCGGACAACGCATATACAAATATGCATCTGATTTTCTTGGAAATCGCAAGGCGCAGATTGGCATAGCTGGTACCAAATCATCACCATACGACCTCCCACTGAAAGGCACACCTCAGGGCTCCATCTTGTCTCCATTTTTATTCAATATCGGCCTCCGGAAACTAGTCCTCCAGCTGGAGACTGTACCAAACCTGGGCTGTGCCTTTTACGCGGACGATATTACGCTATGGGCAACAAAGGGCTCCTATGGAGAACGACAAGATGTACTGCAAACCGCTATAGACATGATTCAAGGCTACCTCACTGCTGCAGGCATGTCGTGCGCACCTAGCAAATCGGAATATTTGCAAATAAGACCCCCACGCACTCGGTCCAACCGTGCACCAGCGCTGCAGCTAGAAATTGCCGGACAGATCATCAACAGGACCCCAGTAGCTCGAATATTAGGCATGCACGTGCAAGAAAACAACAGCGTAAAGACTGCAATAGGCAAACTCAAACACACCGTAAAGAGTATTGCATCCCTTATAGCTAGAATTGCGAGAAGTAATGATGGGATGACAGAGGCCGACACGGTACGCCTTGTACAGGCCTTCGTTCTCAGCCGAGTCACGTTCGCTCTTCCCTTTCAATCAACACGCAAGCCCGAAATAGAGCAGATTGACAGACTTATCAGAATTGCGTACAAAGCAGCATTGCGACTTCCGAACAGCACAAGCACAGAAAAACTCATGGGACTCGGCATGCATAATACGTATGAAGAATTGGCCGCCGCCACGCTAATCGCACAGCGAGAACGACTCACCACTACGCTCCAGGGAAGAACACTGCTACAGAGGCTGGGATACCCTCTCACCCCTCAATATTGTGGCGATGAGACAGTCATTGCACCCAACCAAATACGTGATCAAATAATCGTGGAACCAGTTCCAAAAAACATGCACCCGCTCTACAACAAAAAGCGCCGTCAAGCGCGAGTACGAAAACTCCTGCATAGAAGTAGCGATCCAGACGCTTACTTTACCGACGTCAGTCTTTATCCCGCGCCACCACAAGGCTCCAGAAAACAAGCATATGCATTGGCAGTGACTAACCAAAGCAAAGTCGTGGCCTGCGCGTCCCTACGCACCAGATCAAGTGCCACCGCAGAGGCAGCAGCCATAGCCTTGGCAATCAGAGAAGCCGAAAGAAGGGGGCGCTCAGCGTATATTTTGACAGACTCACAAGCTGCATGTCGCTTATACCTTAGAGGCACACTTCCAAGGTGCGTCACTGATATTTTGGGGTCCATGTTGATGGAGGCACATGGCGTCACTTGGTGCCCGGGGCATGACGGCCTGGGGGGAAACGAGGAGGCAAACTGCGTAGCTCGCGGACTTACTGGCCGAGACGCAGGACTCTCCTCAGGACACCTCACAGGGCATCATGAAGAGCAAAGTGTAACAAGCAGGCAGATATTGGAAAACCAACGCCTTACAAGACGCACGTACGCCCCTCCACATCCGAACTTAAGCAGCCAACAAGCCCGGGATTGGCGCCGCCTCCAAACGAACACATACCCCCCCATATCAAAACTACACGCAATTTTTCCACATATATACACAACAGGGGTATGCCCATGGTGTAGTAACCACACAGCCACACTTACACACATAACCTACCAATGTACCGAGCGGCCAGCCAATGCAGTATCTAGGTTGGTGCGCTCACTACAAACACTCACAACGTGGTCTTGGGAGGCACGGCTTTCCGAGCTGGCACTGGGGAGCCAACTGGTGACCCTAGACCAGGCCCGGCGAGCCGCTGCGGCCAGTGGGGCTCTACAAGAGGGCTCCACCCGGGATTAGTCACGTAATTTTAATTCTTCAATAAAGTTTATTCTCTCTCTCTCTCTCTCTCTGTATGTGCCCCGATTAGGGTATGGCACCTTTAGCGTTTTAGCATGATTCGTCTCTCCCCACTTTCTAGGAGCAAAGCTCGTTAAAAGCGTCCCGTCGTAATTTTATGTAGCCACCTCTCGTTAGTTCTTGAACCAGCCTTAGAGGGCAGCACTTGCACATATAACAAAATGCATATACGCTGAAAAATGCGAATGGTACGATACTAGAGAACATTACTTGTAGTATGATAAATAATAAATATCGCAGCATATCTATGCAGTGAATAATAATGAGGGGGGCGAAGCGTCCATCATTCCGACCATGCTTTCGGCCGTCCGCTCATTCTTGCTTCAGTTCATGCGTGCATCCGTCCATTCGTGCACCCGTTCAATCGTCCAGCCGTGCGTGCGTCCTCTCATGCGTCCATCTGTGCGTTCATTTGTGCATCCGTCCATCCATACATCCGTCCATCCGTACCTGCGTTCGTCCATGCGTCTGTTCGTTCATCCATGCGTTGGACCCATCGTGCATCCGTCCATGCATCCGTCCGTCTATGCGTCCGTCCATCACTGCGTTCATTCATGCATCCGTCCATCCGTCCCTGCGTTCGTTCATGCATACGTCCTTTCCGTGCGTCAAACAGACAGACAGACAGACAGACAGACAGACAGACGGACGGACGGACGGACGGACGGACGGACGGACGGACAGACAGACAGACAGACAGACAGACAGACAGACAGACAGACAGACAGACAGACAGACAGACAGACAGACAGACAGACAGACAGACAGACAGACAGACAGACAGACGGACGGACGGACGGACGGACGGACGGACGGACGGACGGACGGACGGACGGACGCTGTCAGCGAATGATTCACGGTTTGCCGACAAAAATTGTGATTCGCGCAAGGTGGTGGCGGCTCGAGCTCAAAGACGGACCCCTGATGTGCGAGCGCGCGAGGCAGAAGTGTGCCGTGAAGCTGCGCGGCGGTGGCGACAAGATCCCGGCGTACGAGAAACGGCAGGCCGAAGTGGCGCGGCAGCGGCGTGTGGACCCAGCTTCACTCCACTCTCCATCCTTCACGCCATGGATATGCTGTAATTTTTTAGATGCGGAGCATCTTATACTTGCGCCTTGTAGTGCGCCGTCCGCGCCGTCCGCACCGCTTCTCGAACATTCGACAGCTGACGCGCGCGCATGCGCCGTCGCGCCGTCGCCCACTCTTCCACCATCTGTGCATCCCTTCCTCCTCTACACACCGCGCGCGCTTCACTCCTCCACCATCTGTGCACCCTTCCTCCTCTACACACCGCGTTCGACATCTACAATTCTCCTGATTCTCCAGTGGACGCGCATGTGGCGTCGCGCTTCGAGAACATTCAACAGCTGACAGCGCATGCGCCGTCGTGCTGTATATATACTCAAGGTCGGCGCTCGCTCGCTCAGTTGCCGCTCGTCGGTTGGTTTGTACGGCGCGTCGACGTCCAAGGTCGCGGTGAAATGAATTCCAACGAATCCACAAACACAATGATCGACGCCCCTTCGACCAGCGCCGCCCTTTCGCATACGTGTGTACGTGTTCACTCATTTAACACCCCCTCCTACAACCACGTTAACCAATTTAGCCATCGACCCAAGTAAGTCGCAATTTAACACCCCATTTCACAACCACGTTAACCAATTTAGCCATCGACCCAAGTAAGTCGCACTTTAACACCCCGTTAACCAATTATATGGTCCGCATCCTCCTCAGTGTTCCCCCGAGGGAAGCTGCGGGCAATTTTTTTAATTACTTGGAAGTTTTGCCAATGTGTTCAATTCGATCACAAGTAGACGTGACACTTACCGAACACCATCATAGATGCCTCGGCGCTGTCCTGGTTGGCCAGTGTGAGCACCTCGCAGCGGTACTTGCCGCTCATGTCGATGGTAGGCTTGACAAGGCGCAAGTGCCACGTGTGGATGTTGCAGGCCTCGGCTCCACCAGCTGCGTGCGACCTGTCCATGTCGATGACGTCCACGTAGCGGTCTGTCACCACGGGGTCCTCGAGTTCGGCGATCCACTGGTAGAACGGTTGCGATTCGCCGTTGAAGAACCACTTCACCACCAGCTTGGAGTCGGACTCGTTGCAGCGGTACTGACAGTCTAGCTCGAACGGGCCTTGACGGCCACTCTCCACCTACCCGAGGCACGGTCAGCTTGGTGATTTCGATGGCGCCAACGAGACGCATCAGGGCATCTGCGAGAAAAGCAGCACATGACGTGGTTAACATCGATGCTTGTCACAGTCACCTGGCATCCGGCTAGCTGTAGCCAAATCTATAGACAAGCCCCAGTGGGTGAGAAAAATCAATAGGGCGCAATTTTTTTTAGGCTGTTCTCACTATTGCGCGCACTGACCATCGCTATGTTCGACTGCTTTGATGACGAGCACCTGTCGGAACAGCACATACTAGAATGTCGAATGGAACTATTGTCGCAACGGAAATCTGTTATGGCCTTAATGAACAGTTCACACGGTAGTGTTTAATTTATTGGGGTATAGTATACTCTCGCTCTGTGCCTTCCCTTTTTTGGTTTTCATTCGCCTCCTCTTACATCCCCTTTTCTTTCCACATTTTCACCTTCTTTCTTTTTATGGTGGTGTAGTAAACCGGATGTTGTAAGTCTGGCAGACCTCACTGCATTACCCTCTTATTTTTTATCTCGCTATGATGTTCTCGATCTTCCCAAAATTATAGCAAGGCAACACCTTTTGTAGCCAGTTCTATGCTATTTTGATTTCTGGAATATTACTCATTGCACCCTAATAAGATCGAAAATACGATAAATATTGGTGCTGTAGTGTTGCTCCTGAAAGTTATAGAGCCCGGCTCCTGCGTGTGGCGGCACCCCGTGGCAGGAACCTCAACTGATTCAAACGCTAGTCTTGTCAATCGGTCAGTCATTGCATCCTGTTATTACACGTCAGACATCGAGTACCAGAAAGCGAAAATAGTGCCTTTGTATGAAGGGAGGGCACTTAATACAGTAGACATTTGCATTCGTAAACTCTACAGGCCACGCACGCCTTCAAATTTTGACTATTCAAGACTATTCAAGGCAGTGATCGTAGAATCTGTTGTTTTATCAAGCCCCAGGGGCTAAACGATGCCATGACGATTCAGCTATAGCACCTTGCAAATCCCCTGCCCTGGTACCGCGCGTAGATCTCGATGTTTGACTTGCAAACAAGCCTTTCACACACACACACACACACACACACACACACACACACACACACACACACACACACACACACACACACACACACACCACACACACACACACACACACACACACACACACACACACACACACACACCCACACACACACACACACACACACACACACACACACACACACATATATATATATATATATATATATATATATATTTATATATATATATAGTCAAGAAATCTTTCAAGGCTGAATTTTAAATGGACTTTGGACTTCGGCGCAACAGCTATCCGCTTTTCATGAAAGTCGTACATGCCGTATCCAGCAAGATGTTGCTTGAAAAGCTCCTAAGCATCAACTCTGAGCATCAACTCTAAGCATCAACTCACGCTTGTCGTCATCTGCCATGATGACGACAAGCGTGAAATGAACTCTTCTGCAGCAGCTCATTTTATCATAAGTGATGCCGCGCGCGTGTTTCAGACACGCACCTTACAGAAAATTAACGGGAAATCGGAGAGATTAGCGAGAAAGGCTCCAAGAATGGCGCGTCTTGAGCGTGAGCACCAAACAAAAAACCCAGTTTTGTGCCCCATTAACTTTCGGTGATCGAAAATCACTACGGACACCGGAAATCACTGCACCTAATGAGTGCAGCGCCGTACCCAGCTGAAGGTACATGGAGCCGCTAAAGCAACCACGTGGGCTGCGATGCGGTTGCGAGTGCAATTAATTTCCTCCCAGCGAAAACGAACGCGCGCAGGTAGAACGCAATATAACGAGGCTAGACGTGCGAGAAAACGAGACAAAAACTTAACCAACGCTCAGAAGCGCAACAAAAGAATGGAATAATGGAAATAAAAGTAAAGGATAACTTAGGAATTAGGGTTTTCTGCTTCGCTTTTTTTTACAGTACTCAAGTGTGCGCTCCATGGCTTGGTTCGCGTAGTCTTAATTAGACGTTCATGCTTTTCTTTGTTTTTTTATTTTACTTCATTTTCTTAGGCGGGTACACCTTTCCTTCTATAGAGAAAAACAGCAAACGTACTAAACGTTTGTTCCCTTTCGCGGTGCACACGCGCTGGCGAGAAAGCAAACAGAGCCCTTGGAGGCTGGCGAAACGCTCAGGCGGAAAACCAACTCGGCGCGCAAGCGAATATGTCACCTCCCGAAGCCGCCCTAACAAAGCCCTGGTGCCAGCGCTGGCGACGTTCATCAAGCTATTGAATTTCCCGCACCAGCGCCTCGCACTCTGCGATGTGCAGCAACGTCGATCTTTTCCCCTCTCTTTTGTCCTTTGTTCGTCGCGTTGCCCTTTCCCCCACTGAATACCGGTTTTCTGTCGCGCGATAAATTATCATCGTTAAAACTTGTTTCGCGGACGCACGCATCGATCGCAAAGGAGTTGTTGCAAGATTAAACTATAAAACAAGCGATAGCAAGCTGATAAGAGACAAAAAGCTTGTCAGAAGGAATAGAGAGGTGAAAGAAGGGAACCGGAAGTAGTAAACTTGGAGGCAGAAGTGCAAAGTTGGAAGTATAAAACCAAAAAGGGAGAGAAAGGCGTCGAGGAAAATAAATTAAGTAGGAGAAAAGGGTACGCAATTGATGAAAAAGAGCAGCGCTTTACGCAAAAGCCAAAGAGAGAGAGAGAGAGAAACATAACCGAAGGGTCTCGATCGGCTAAGCAAGTCATTAATGCGCAAGCCCGTGGGCGCGGAAAAGGCCACTTCTGTTCTTCCCGCTGACGACGTCGTATTCCCTTTCCACTTGTCCCCCTCTCCACCTTCCTTCCCTACATTAAAGCTCGGACTGCCCGCCCGCTGCTTGACGCGGCAAGTATGTACAGAGAAGACAGGCCCGTACAAGGGTGAGGGCATACAGCGCATGTGCTTCAAGAAAACACAGAAGGGACGCGGGCACAACTTCAGACAGCCAGGGGTGCCCACACACACAGGCGCGGCGTGCCCCTTTCACCAGTCGCTGTTTAAATGATGGTAATGGATCCTCTCCGGGCATAAAATTCCTTCCTTCCTCGCTCACCACCTGTCTCTGACAACAGCGGTGCCGGCCGTCGGCTTCTGCGACTCATCTTCCAGCCCCGTCCTCCCCAACAGCCTCAATGGAACAGCGGGAGTTCGCGACGCGGTCTCCGTGTGACTGACTGGGACGCCTTCGCTGTTGTGCTAGCGTCGCGTGTGTGAGTCGCTCGAAGGCTTTCTTCACGGTACAGAAGCAGCCAGCGTTTTTTTTTTTCCCTCGCGACATACGCACACACACACATACACACACGCGCGCGCAGGCCCACAACGGGACTTCCCGCAGGCTTTTTTTCCCCTTCTTCCCAATGTCAGGACACCCCCTACCCCCCCTCCCCCACGCAAGTCGTTCATCATTGTTGGTCGCTGCAAGGGCTTGCGTCTTCTCATCTTTCGGCACCACACGGACAGTTTCGTCGTCGCGTTGTCGTGGCCGTTGCTGCGACGCTTGATTATTACGCGGACCGCGACTTTCTTTTCACTTTTCGCCTTTAGCGCTTCGCGAAAAACAAACGACGTTGCCGTTCATTCCTTCGACGGGAAGTATATATAACGCGGCTGCCTGCCACGACGAAGGCGTTATGACGGCTTCTTTGGATCGCGAGCAGCGGGAGCCCGCTAAGCCCAGATCTCCCTAGCCTTGAAAATGAAGGAAGTGCGCTTGTATAGTACGAATATAAAGATGACTGCTTTCACTCGAGCACATTCTCCTTGGCTCAGCCTCTTTCCACTCTTTTTTAGTAAAGCTATACAGCGCACTGGCCTCTTGTGGTTTGAGAGAGGGCGTTGAGGACTAGGTTAGGCGTAAATTTATGCCGTTTTATGAGGTCTTTCTTTTCTTTCCCATACGTCTTCAGCGCGTTCGTACGTTGAAATCCTCATAAATTACGGCTGAGCTGCAGGGTTATCTAGCGAAGTCGTAACGTGGTGCTATCAAACCTGCCATTCTGGAACCTCAGCCCCTCAACCCACGCGCGGGCCACCGCGGCACGGTGGCGCCACTTTACGCCCGAACACACGTGCGGGTGACCTGCGGGCGTTCAAGTGATTTGTGTTATATAAGTGTTTAGCTGGTTCTGTGGCCACTAAATCACGTTTGTAGACGCAATATTGCCCTCTTTGAGCGTATCCTTCAACTGGGGCTGTATCGCGGGCACAACTCTATTCAGTAAGTACATACAGTAAGCGAATGTTCGCGAGCTGCACTGCTACAGCTAGCTGGAAGTGTTACGACTAATGTGTATGTAGTGTAGTAACCGTGGCAAGTACAACGGAAAGCCCACGCACAAACGTGCACACACATACTAACCGACATGCTCACTCACTCACTCATGTTGATAAGGAATCTAAGGTTTTTGCCTTAAAAACATCTGCAGCAGCATGCGCAGTTCACTGTCACATGTATTCCCACGCCCAAGCACAAAAACTCATTCAATTTTATGAGGTAACTACTATGAAACTCCCGACGGGGGGACAAAAACTGCACTGGCTTTGTAATTTATTGGTCACTAGGTAGATATCATTTTCAATGTCACGCAGTGACCACTGTGCAAACTCAAGTAATGGTGCAGTGTATTGCGCGTGGTGCCAACGAGAGCCAGAAACCACGTATAGTGTCATTACAGGAGTGGCACGAGCGTTAATAGATCATGTGCGGGCCACCTGTGTTTAGAGAAGCCAATATCTCGTCACGAGCCGGAGAGCCGAAAATGTTCCTGTAAAAACGAGTCTGGCAGTGACAGATATCACGTTCAGCCGCTCCTAATCTATCACTCGGAATGTGCTCGCGCAACGAGGCAGGATAGTTCCCGAGTCCTCACTGCCAGCAGCATCCGCATCCGGGAGGCGAGTGTTCTGCTGTCAGTTTTCATCAGATGCTAGCGGATGTAATTTGGGTGTACAGTGGAAACTAGAGCATCAGGAAGGAGATCGAGAGACTTGTGCATTGTTTGTTAACGCTTTGGCCCCAACACACAG